TCATTGTACTTAAACTTAAGAGAAATACCACTGTTGTGATTAAAGCTTTTTAGAAGCATTCTTACTCTTGTATTAGATTTACATTGATTGTAAAGGATTTCCTTAAGAGGATTCAGTTGGAATCAGTAGCTCTTGAGAAGACTAATAACAATTGTTCTTAGGTGTTACTATTGTAATCTGTTTGATTAAATAGTGGATTAAGTCCTTGTTTGAGAAAGGCAAATCACTCTAGGAAGGGTGGACTGGAGTAGTTGAGTTCAACGAACCAGGATAAAAATACTTGTGTTTTAATTCTAAGTTTTAATCTTTCATACTTATTCAACCCCCCCCCCCCCTTCTAAGTATTATCTCACCTTCAAGAGTGAACCACCTCAAAGAGAGCATTGTAAGCCAACAAATGTCTATTGAATCTAAAGGTTTGGGGTCCCACAGTTTATTTGCATAACAAAGAATAATGGAGAAATGATAAGAAATATCTCTAAAAATAGCTAACTAAATCATTGAACCCCAAACATCACGCCAGACCTCAGACCCAAGAATCCTATCTAACCTACTCGCAGCCCCACCATTAGTTTGGAACCAAATAAAATTCCTCGTTAATAAGGCAAGGTGAATAAATTTTAGCTAAAATATGAAATTACAAAACTCAATACAAATAGTAGAGTTAGATGGTCGAATGTGACCATTACCAACAATTCTCTAAGAAGCAAATCAAACATAGTTAAAATCACCAAGAACACACCAAACATCACCTGTAGGTGCCTTTTTCGTAGAAGAATATCCTCTCACATCTCTATTTGTTCAGGAAGAGAACACTTTGAATACAAATTGACCACAAAACATTGGGTCTTAGAAGCCCCCCACTCAAGAGAAACACCTAGAAAACATAACCCGGTAAATGAGAGCTACACCAAATAGAGAGTATAGCCCAACTATTACTGATGGCAGGGATATAGCTCCAATCACAAAAAGAATCACCCTAGAGAGAAAACATCAAATAGGCTAACACCTCAGTAAACTTAGTTTCTAGAATAACAACAAAATCTAAGGAATTAGAAATAATAAACTTGCTAACTCTAGTCTTTTTAATTATGTTACCAATACCATATACATTATAAGATCACATCAACATCGAGAATGACTCCTAGTCATTCGTGCAACCTTTTGCTGACGATCTCTTTTCTTCAGACAAACTAATCTAGCTACTTCAACCTCATCACTCAACTAAAACGAAGAACCCAGTTGTTTATCCAACTTATTAAGTTTCAAAGATACTCTATTATGAATGATGTCAAGACACTAAGAAAAACTAGATGGAATCAAAACATGATGTATAAACGAGTAGCTCGTGGAAGAGGAATATCTCCAAGACTAACAGATAAGATAAGTCGGGGTATCCAAGCCTTTCTCCAAAGTAGACGTTGGAATACCATCTGAAAAACATAAGCCAACACAAGCACCAGTTGTAAGAAAACCACATGAAATAGAAGGTTTAACAATACCTGAGATCGGTTGCGGATTGGTAAGCAAAATAGATATTTGATCCAGAATATATTCAACACCAAAGTGTGGTGACTGAGAAGATAAAATAGGTCGAATGGAACTTGAGGCACTCTCCACCTGAAAAATAGACACCACACTTCGAAGCGACGAGGGAACCATCTGAGTTTCAATGCTCGGATCAAATACGACCAAGTATGGAGGAGTAGCAGCAATATTAAATTCCAACGAATGTAGACTGTGCTCACAAGAAGAAGAAGAAATAGAATGAGAAAACGATGTGCCATCCACACTAGTAGAGGGTGAGAAAAGGAAGGCTTCATTAGAGAGAAATAACACTTAAAGCCCAATTTAAAATCACAAGAAAGAGCTTTAAATTCCAAATATTTTTTTAGGCTTGATGAGGTAAGCCGTGTTGTTTTTGTTGAGTAGTGTTATGTATTTCATTGATAGATCAAGATTCAAGTAAATTTTTGTTACTTTAAGTTATATACTATGTGTGATTATCAATAACATGATAACAATAATTTTCAAAATAAATAATAGTAACTTCGATAGAACTGTAGTTATGAACAATAACTATTTTGAAATTAACCATGACTCACGAAAATTCTAAATAACCAACCTCTAATTAGTAATATTTTCTCATAATAATATTATTATTATTATTATTATTATTATTATTATTATTATTATTATTATTATTATTATTATTATTATTATTATTATTATTATTATTATTATTATTATTATTTTATTTACTTTTCCTATTTGAATAAAAGAATTATTTCTAATTATTTTTCATTTTTAAAATTTAATATAACATTAATTATTGATTTGCCAATGATACTTTTCGCAAAAGTAAAAAGATATATAAAATGAGATAATAATTGATTGAGAATAGTATAGAAAAAGATAAATTATTTTACTAAAATGATAAACTTATTAATTGCTATAATATGTGTAAAAATTAAAAAAAAAAAGAAGAAAAAAAATAAAAAAATTACTATTATTAAAGTAAAAAATAAAATATAACGACAATATTTTTACTAATTAATTAGTGAAATAGTTAAATATATTAAAATTCACTTATTAAGATATATTAGAGCATCTTTAATGGAAGTAAACTAAATGGATAAACTAAAATACTTTTTGTGGGTCCAAAATAATTTGTAGGATTTAAAATATTTATAGTTGATTTGAGTTGTTTTTACTTTAACAATGGTTGCTTTTAAAAAATCAAAATTTGACCCTAAATTTTATAGTTGTTGGAGCTTTATTGATATTTTAATAATATAAAACAATAATAAAATAATAATAAAAGTCATTGAGAATGGATAGTGTGCGTTGGTTATATATTACTCCTACTAATTGTTAGTTCACTTACTACCATGTCATTCTTATTCCAATGCAAATTGCTTGTTAATTCACTTACTGCCATGTTATTTTTATTCCAATGCAAATTGTTTGTTAGTTCACTTACTGTCATGTCATTCTTATTTCAATACAAATTGCTTATAACTACCGTTACTATTAAAAAATTTAATACTACAACCTGCACTAAAGATGTTCATAGTGGAAGAAAAACATATTACATTAATACTTTAAAATGATAATAATTTTGAGACTACAACCTGCACTAAAGATGTTCATAGTGGAAGAAAAACATATTACATTAATACTTTAAAATGATAATAATTTGAGACAGAAAAGTTATAAATATAATACTTTCTATAAAACATATATATATATATATATATATATATATATATATATATATATATATATATATATATATATATATATATATATATATATATATATATATATATATATATATATATATATATATATATATATATATATATATATATATATATATATATATATATATATATATATATATATATATATATATATATATATATATATATATATATATATATATATATATATATATATATATATATATATATATATACTTTTTATTAATCTATTTATTTTTATTATTTTATTTATTTCAATCATAAAAGATTATTATTATTATTATTATTATTATTATTATTATTATTATTATTATTATTATTATTATTATTATTATATAGTATTAAATTTTCTAATATAGCCATTATGACTTTGTAATATTAACTCTTTTAATATAGTATATATTATACATTATATCAAATTTATTATTTATTAATACTTTTATAATATTAATAAAAAATATAACAAATAATTTTGATATTTAAAAAACGGATCCAAATCAAATTACATGAAATTGAAAAGTAAATTTATCTTTTAGATTGGATGTTATTTTGCTTCAAAGCGGGTCTAATTCGTCCTATCGCCCTAATAAAAATTATTATCAATTTCTTTGTTGTTCTCAATTATTTAATACATAATAGATTATTAATTTATTATTATTATTATATTAATGTTTTAGACCTACCTAACCCATATAATACTTTTTTTTAGTTTTTCGTTTTGAAGTTTTATTTAATTATTGTGTAAAAGTTAAAATTAATTAAATAAATTCTATCTCCTTGAATATAAAAAAAAGGAGGTTCGAGATATTTTAGATACTTATGTAATGTTTACTTATTGAAAATTTTGAAAATTTTTTAATATTGAATATAAAATTTAAATATATAAAAGATTCTAAAAATTAAATAAGTTATTACATATTTATATAATTATTATTATGCATTATTATTATTCTTATATTTAATAAAAATATTTATTTATTTATAATGGGTTCAACCAAAATCCAAATATGGTCTAATCTTAAAACTTTAAATCCATATATACACCAGTTTAGTGTTCAATTTAGTTTTGATTACCTTGCTGAAAACTCGTAATCTAATTATATTATTTTCTTTGCCGCAATATATGAAATACTGACATTTGAAAATCATTATTAAGTTATTTACTCATAGAATTCCAGTCCTTCCTTTTTTGACTTTGTATAGCGCCACCTTTGATATTAAATTTGTTTTTCGCCATCACTTGAGTTTATTCAATCTTTTGAAAACTTGGTAAAATATCTCCCAATATTTTGCCATATTAATTATTGGGAAATGTTAATTAGTGTTCTGGAGTATTTGTTAAGAGTTTTAAAAAACATATTTTATTTGAAAATACTTATATTAAATGTATTAAAAATTAAAATTATTAATTTTATATTTTTTATAGAAGACATGTAATGTTTTCTTTATTTAAAATCTTAAAAAAATATTCCTGGAGCACTCTAAGCGTGAACCTTAATTTTATATGTTATTATTAATTAATGCTAACCCATACTCTTACAGTCAAACATTTGTCTTGCTTGACTTGTTAACTCTACATGCTATTATTCACCAACCAACCTAGCCAGCGCCTGCCATGACATATTTCCATGCACGTGTTTGACTATTGACGTCGACTATGAGATATGAATGTATATAAATGAGTTAATTTCACAATGAGTAATATTAACAAGCAATAGCATTTGATAAGATAAGATGAATTCAGAAATGTATTTTGCAACCACAATGTTCCTCCTCTTTTTATCATACATTGCGATAACACTATTTAGTAGAACCAAAAAACATATCAATCTTCCACCGGGGCCTTCACTTCTTACCCTTGTGCGAAATGTTTTTGAATTAGGAAAAATAAAACCACAACACTTGTTAGCCAAATTTTCCAAAATATATGGTCCAATAATGTATTTGAAGTTAGGTCAAATAACAACCATTATCATTTCATCACCCGAGTTAGCACAAGAAGTACTTCAAACCCATGATCTCTTCCTCTCTGACCGAACAATTCCTCAAGCTGTAGCCGTTCTTGATCATCAACATTTTAGCTTACCCTTCTTGCCAGCTTCAGATCTTTGGAAAGATCTTAAGAAAATATGCAAAAACCATTTGTTTTCCAGCAAAACACTTGATGCAAGTTATCAACTTAGGTGTAACAAGCTTCGAGAATTTTTATGTGATATTGATAGAAGCAGTATAACGGGTGAAGCAATAGATATTGGAAGAGCTGCTTTTAAGACATCATTGAACTTTTTGTCAAACACTTTTTTTTCAATGGATTTTGCTAACTCTGCTGGTGAAACTGATGAGTATAAAGACATAATTGAAAATCTTGTGAGAGTTATAGGAACACCAAACTTGGTTGATTTTTTTCCCGTTTTAAGTGTGTTTGATCCACAAGGTATTAAAGGAATATCAGCTACTTATCTTGAAAAGTTGTTGCAAATCATTGATTCATATACCACCAAAAGATTAAAGTTAAGAGAAGAGAAAAATCATGTCTCAAATGGTGACATGTTAGACATGCTTCTCAACATCACTCAAGAGAATGGTCAAATGATGGACAGAACAAAGATTAAACATTTATTTCTGGTAAAATTTTCTCCACCACTTTTTTATTATATATCTCTTTTTTTTTATTATTACATAATTATGTCATAACATTTTTGAAATAAATACTTATACTTCGTTTTTTACTTTGTTATAGGATTTATTTGTGGCAGGGACTGATACAACTTCCTACACAATAGAACGGGCCATGGCTGAACTAGTTCACAACCCACATGTAATGTCAAAAGTTAAAGAAGAACTTGGGCAAATAATTGGTATAGGAAATTCAATTGAGGAATCAGATATTAGTAGACTCCCATATTTGCAAGCAGTAGTAAAAGAAACATTACGTTTGCATCCATCTGCTCCACTTTTACTACCAAGAAAAGCTAGGATAGATGTAAAAATTTGTGGATACACTATTCCACAAGGTTCACAAGTTTTAGTTAATGAATGGGCCATGGGAAGAAATCCTAGCATTTGGGATAATCCAAATACGTTTTTTCCTGAAAGATTTCTTGGGTCAGAAATTAATTTCAAGGGCCAAAATTTTCAACTAACACCATTTGGTAGTGGGAGAAGAATGTGTCCTGGCATGCCACTTGCTGAACGAATGTTGCATACAATGTTAGGATCAATGATTAACTCTTTTGATTGGAAAAAGAAAAATGGAGATAGAGACATTGATCAACCATTACGAGCTATTCCTATTAGAGTAAATAAAATGTAACAAACAATTGAGTACCTTTTTTTTTATTTGTATAAGGCACATTCATTCATTGTCACAAATAAAAAAATTATTTGTTTATTATCTTGATCATTGGTACATGCAACAAGTCTCTATTATCCTTACACTACCATACCGCATTGCTTTTTGTTTTTTGTTTTACTTATTGCTTGTTTCAATTTGTTATGGCCTCAAATTTAATATTTTCGCCTTACACTTAGTTTATTCATTATTTTTCTTGAAAAACGCCTCAAATTCACATTTTCTCTCTAAAATCTGTTGAGTTTGTAATTCTTTGTATCGAAACAGTGTAGCTCAACAAAAACAAGGTCTAGTCGAATTAGCCTAATGCGTGTGTCGAAGTGTCGAATCAGGTTGCTTCACAAGATTTTGACTTAGGCCTATTTTAATAATGTTAGCTATTTTGGGCGTTTATAGTTTTGGGGTTTGCCTTGGGTGCAAGCTAACTAAATCTATAAATAGGGAGTAACCCTTATTTTTTAACATAACTCATAATATTGTATTCACAGTTTGCAGTTGCAAGTGAATAAGAAAGTTTCCATAGTTTGTGTGTAGAGAGAAACTCTGTAGAATATTCATCTTCTTCTCCAACGTTATTTTTCTTTCTTTCTTTCTCAACCTTTTCTTTTCATTGTCATTGCGTGATTGATAACAATCTTGAGATAAAGATTTAGTGAAATTCTCCATAGGCTGTGGTTGAATTCCAACACCTGATATCAAGAGCTCCGGTTGTGATTCAAGGAAGCAAAACTGTGATGGTTGTGAATCATCCAAACAGACACTTTCTGGCGAATCTTTCGATTCTCAAGAAAGATAATGATGAGAATTGGTGTTGTCATACACCAAATTTATCCTACATGTATATTACTTTCATTTGTACTTCCATCCAGTAACCATTATTAAAAAATCCAAAAATATGATTGTCGCTACGTGAAAAATGACACAGAGTCGCCACCGGATTTTATTTATCCCAAGGAGGGAAAAGGAAATAGCGATAAAACCTTTAGGGAAAAGTGCATGGTCATCGCAACCAAGTCTTAGGATTCGGGAGTCGGTTATACGAGGGGAAGGTATTAGCACCCCTCGCATCCATCGTACTCGATGGGAACCTTCTAGGTTGTTTCGCTTAAGTGAGTGTTTTTAATCTAAAAGTTTGCTTCTTCTTTAAAAAGAAAGAGGGGTGTTAGACTATGGCACGGATCTAGAAGGGGGGGTTGAATAGATCTCCAATTAAAATTTGAGTCGGCGCTACCAATTTAAAATTGGTTTTAAAAATGTTTTAAGTGCGAAAGCGGCCGAGGAAAAATATAGTCTAAAACGAACGATTATTGGAAAACCGGATATACGTAAGCCTTTGGATTAATGACAATTCGGAAAAATAGAATCACAATACAAATTCCACTTATCAATTATTTACTTCAGTTGTAAGGATTCCTAGTTCCAATGATTCAAAATCAACCCAAAACTAGATACACAAGTAAGATAATTTTGGTTCAAGCAATATGTCAAACACTTGGTGTGCAAAAACACTCCAAGTGATATTTATGTTGAGTAAGGGATTTCAACCAGCCTAGTACAATGTCTTGTTGTACTTTGGAGTTAAAAACAGAGTTTTAACCTCTTACTCAATTGATATCACAGTTTTGACAATAGAGCTTACACAAAAATTTCTTATTTTGAGCTATAACGAAAATGCTGAAAATAGAGAAGACAAGTAATTTGGTGAGGCAGTTCCCCCGTCGTCCTCGCTTCGGGGTACGTCTGCCCTCAATTCTAAAACTAGAATTGAGATATATTTTATAGATATCACCTATTTGAATGAACAGTTTATACAAGGATTGAGCAGCAAATATACAACAGAAATCTCAATGTGTTGAAAGTTGCCTTCACTCCTTGCCCCTTGATTCAAGTTGAATCAAGTTCTTCGATTTGTGTTGATGGACCTCCGACTCCAGCCACCTTATTGAAGAACACGTTGTTGTTCAAACCTTTGGCTCCGGCTGATCTCAACAGCACCAAATCGAACCCGAGATCTTCCCTTCAAAATCACCGAATCCGCTACTAGACTTGTGAAGATCACCTCTTCACAATCACCTTCGCTCGATTGATCGTTGATGAAGAATCTCGTCCAAAAACCCCTAAAATTCGAACCAATCTTGGAGGGTAAAACCCCAATGGTTTTATTGAAGAAAGAACCTGTCGCAATCTTCAACCCGAGCTTGATTCTCCAATCTAAGCCTCGAACCTTATCACCTTGAATCTCTCACAAATGCATTTCAAAAATGATTGTGTGTAATTGAAATGTTGTGAGATGTTGAAGATGAAGATGATGAATCTTGGACACCTATTTCACTCTTTCTTGTTTTTGAACACATGAATCAAAAGAATATCAAATGTTAGTAGACACAAGTGTTTAAACAAGTATATATAGTGCCAACATAATTCTGGACATAACAGTATTTCAAATATGAGAGGGAAGTATTTTAAAATAGATTTTCCGCGCGAACGGTCGACCATAACATGTCTGTGCGTCAACGCATGGCCTGTGCTGTTTTGGAATTCTGGAAATTTCATCAGTGTGCGTCAACCATATAGTCGGTGTGCGCTGACCCGTTGAAATCCATTTCCTTTGTGCGCCGACCCTATGGTCGACCCATGCCTTTACGCGCTGACCCGCTGGAATGTTGTTCCTTCATGCGCTGACCCTATGGTCGACACATGCTTTGTGCGCTGACTGGTTTAGGCTTTTTATGATGCATACGTCGACCCTATGGTCGACCCATGTCCTGCAAGCGTTGCATCTGGTTTAGTGGATCTGGAATTCACATTTTCCAATCTGTCCGGGAAATTTGTCATCATCGAAACCTGCATTAACCAATGTCTTGCAGACTTGTGTGATATGTGGCAATTTGCCTCCATAATCTCCCCCTTTTTGATGATGACAACATGTATACAACTAAAACACCAAGTATGCAATGTATACACACAAGTATACACAAGCTCCCCCTTTCTTTTGTACTATAAGGCTGTAGAACAAACAACCATCAAATATTGTTAATATCCTGAACTGTTAATATCCTGACTTGGCTTTGGTGTTTGCTTGCTACATTGTCTTCTCCCCCTTTGACACTATCAAAAAGAGAAGAAGAACGCATCAATTAACAGAGAACATACAATAGGTGATAGTTAATTATCAAACTTCACACATAAGCATGATAATGAACAAAAAATATCTTGAATTAATAGATAATGACGAAAACATGTAATGAAAGTTCAGGCACACATAATACAGAAAAAAATGAAAAGTACACATACGAAAACACATAAGCAAATATGAAATATGCAACTATGAATCTAATAACCGCGACCCCGTCCTCGGCCTCTCCCTCGGTATGCAGCATCTGGATTGTGGTAAGGATCCGAGAAGTCCAGAAAAACTTCGACGGACATGTTGAGATGACTAAGAGAGTTGGTGATCTCCCAATATTGCCGCTCATGTGATTCAACCAGAGAGTCAATACGGGCGTCCATCCGAGTAGAAAATGAATTGAACCGTTCATTTTGGGCATGGAGCTCATGAAGTTTTGTTGTTCTAACTGCATTGACTGCATCATATTAATGACTTCAGAGTTGTCCGAAGGCGGAGGAGGTGATGAGTGCTGAGAGGGTTGATAGTCTTGAGGGTAGCCGTGATATGGGTCATAGAATCTACCCAGGGTAGTCCAACCTGTATATTTCCAATCGCCCCATCCTTGATTTGTAGAGTCGCCTTCTTGTTCTTCTGATGGATATGAGTACTGGACCCAATCGGTATTTGTAGTCGTATCTTGGACTGGAGATTGATGATAATCTTGAGTCCCATAGATAGGTTCTTGTATCTCTGCATCTGTGTTGTCTTCTGCATCGTCTTCTTCACCTTCCTCTTCACTTTCTTCTTCACCTTGTTCTTCAATTTCTTCTTCACCCTGCTCTTCACTTTTGTCCTCTTCTTCGTCATCAGAATCGTTATGAGGCACCGGAGGAATATTGGCCCGTCGGACAAATCTGTATGAACGTCGTTCAACACACCAAAAATACCCCATCATTGCAAGGGTTTTGGTGCTAAATTCTTTATCCGAGGGGACTGAGACACACGGAAATGTTGGGTATACAACATTCGCAGCAGCAAGAGTTTCAGAAATGAACGACCCATAGGCTAAAGTAGTGCCTCTACTTGAGTCTCTCAGAGAAAACATCCTGCTAGCAATATAGTATGGCCAATTTATTTTGATCCTGTTTTGCAGTATATAGATGAGATGTACCTCAGCTTGTTCGACACGAGACAGTCCACCCTTTTTCGGTCGTAGTATACGAGCGACAATCCACTGAAGGATGCGCTCCCCTGTATTGAGCTTCCCGGCTGTGACCGATCGAGAAAAAGCATCGCTGTTGACTATTGCTTCTGGATAGGGTCGTTTGAGCATGCCATTCAGAGCTCGCTTAAATTCATAACCCGGCAACGTACGAGTGTCAGTTACCTCATGATGAGGTGGTGCATCAGCATCAACAGTCATATCAAAATATTTGTTCCATACTTCAGAATTAATATTAACCAGTCTATTTCCTACAGAAGTGTGAAAGTGGTGATCTTGAAAGTTACCTCGCAAATTTGTGTAAAACACCCTGATCAAATCCTCACTGTACTTTGTATTACACTCCAGGAAATTGACGAACCCTTGGAAGTCCAACAGGGACAGAATTCGGGTGAGATGCAAGCGCTCACTTGTTGCATGGTAGAACGCATGTTGTGGAACTATGGCCCTTTTGCTGAGACTTTTGTTGAAGTTTTCAACAGCAGGAGGATGAACAAGTGAAACAGCAGTAACAGGAACTGAAGCAGAGGATGAAGAGGCTCTTGATCTCTTACCGGTAGTTTTGCAGGGAGAGGAAGCCATTGATGATGATTTTTGGAGGAGTTTGTAAAGATGAACTTTGAACTTTGA